CACAGTCACCGTACATCCAGGACAAAGTCTCCGTACATCCAGGACACAGTCAGCGAACATCAAGGATAAACCCAGCGTACATCTAAGACACAGTCAGCGTATATCTAAGACATAGTCAACGTAAATCAAGGACACAGTCTGCGTGCATCCTTGACACGGTCAGTGTACTTACATTACGAACCAAGCGTACATCCAGGACACAGTCTGCACATATCCAGAACACAATCTGCGTTTATCCTAGACACAGTCAGCGTACATCCAGGATTAACCCAGCGTACATCTAAGACACAGTCAGCGTATATCTAAGACATAGTCAGCGTATAGCTAAAACATAGTCAACGTACATCCTGGACACAGTCAGTGTACATCCAGGATAAACCCAGCGTACATCTAAGACACAGTCAGCGTATATCTAAGACATAGTCAACGTACATCCTGAACACAGTCAGCGTACATCCAGGATAAACCCAGCGTACATCTAAGACACAGTCAGCGTATATCTAAGACATAGTCAACGTACATCCTGGACACAGTCAGCGTACATCCAGGAGAAACCCAGCGTACATCTAAGACACAGTCAGCGTATATCTAAGACATAGTCAACGTAAATCCTGGACACAGCCTGCCTGCATCCTTGACACTGTCAGCGAACATCTAAGACACAGTCAGCGTACACCCAGGACACGGTCAGTATACACAAAGTACGAACCAATCGTACATCCAGGACACAGTCAACGTACACCCAGGACACAGTCTCCGTACATCCAGGACACAGTCAGCGAACATCAAGGATAAACCCAGCGTACATCAAAGACACAGTCAGCGTATATCTAACATACAGTCGTGGTACATCCTTGACACAGTCAGCGAACATCCAGGACAGAGTCAGCGTACATCCAGGACACAGTCTCCGTACATCCAGGACACAGTCAGCGAACATTCAGGACACAGTCAGCTTACATCCTGGACACAGTCTGCGTACATCCAGGACACAGTCAGCAAACATCTAGGACACAGTCAGCGTACATCCAATACGAACCAAGCCTCAATTCAGGACACAGTCAGCGTACATCCAGGACACAGTCAGCGTACATCCAGGATAACCCCGGCATACATCTAAGACACAGTCAGCGTATATCTAAAACAGAGTCAACGTACATCCTGGACACAGTCAGCGTACATCTAAGACACAGTCAGCGTATATCTAAAACATAGTCAACGTACATCCTTGACACAGTCAGCGTACATCCAGAACACGGTCAGCGAACATCTAACACACAGTCAGCGTACATCCAGGACACGGTCATTGTACATACAGTACGAACCAAGCGTACATCCAGGACACAGTCTGCGCATATTCAGGACACAATCTGCGTGCATCCTGGACACAGTCAGCAAACATCTAGGACACAATCAGCGTACATACAGTACGAACCAAGCCTACATCAAGGACACAGTCAGCGTACAACCAGGACACAGTCTACTTATACCCAGGAAACAGTCAGCGAACATCCAGGAAAGAGTCAGCGCACATCTAGGACACAGTCAGCGTACATCCAGTACGAACCAAGCCTACATCCAGGACACAGTCAGTGTACATCCAGGATAAACCCAGCGTACATCTAAGACACAGTCATCGTATATCTAAGACATAGTCAGCGTACATCCTGGACACAGTCAGCGTACATCCAGGATAACCCCGGCGTACATCTAAGACACAGTCAGCGTATATCTAAGACATAGTCAACGTGCATCCTGGACACAGTCTGCGTGCATCCTTCACACAGTCAGCGTACATCTAACGCACTGTCAACGTACATCCAGGACACAGTCAGTGTACATCCAGTACGAACCAAGCGTACATCCAGGACACAGTCACCGTACATCCAGGACACAGTCTCCGTACATCCAGGACACAGTCAGCGAAAATCCAGGATAAACCCAGCGTACATCTAAGACACAGTCAGCATATATCTAAGACATAGTCAACATAAACCCTTGACACAGTCAGCGTACATCCAGGACACGGTCAGTGTACATACAGTACGAACCAAGCGTACATCCAGGACACAGTCAGCGTACATCCAGGATAAACCCAGCGTACATCTAAGACACAGTCAGGGTATATCTAAAACATAGTCAACGTACATCCTTGACACAGTCAGCGTACATCTAAGACACAGTCAGCGTATATCTAAAACATAGTCAACGTACATCCAGGACACAGTCAGCGTACATCTAAGACACAGTCAGCGTATATCTATGACATGGTCAACGTAAATCCTGGACACAGTCTGCGTGCATCCTTGACACGGTCAGCGAACATCTAACACACGGTCAGCGTACACCCAGGACACGGTCAGTGTACACAAAGTACGAACCAAGCGTTCATCCAGGACACAGTCAGGGTACATACAGTACGAATCAACCGTACACCCAGGACACAGTCTCCGTACATCCAGGACACAGTCAGCCTGTATCTAAGACATAGTCAGCGTACACCCAGGACAGTCAGCGTACAGCCAGGATACAGCCAGCATACATCCAGGACACAGCCAGCATACTTCTAGGACATATATAGTCAGCATGCAGTCAAGTTCCTACAACATACACAACATTTTCACTTGAGCAGATATTGTGACATTGTGGCAATATGTTACAGCTTTGGCCCTTTTAGTTAACTTTAATTCCGGGTTCAGTTTTTTAAAAACCCAGCAACTTTGTTCTGAGATAATAATAATTCCCATATTCTCACTAGTACTTTGTGTAATGTCTACTGGGTGTATCCGACAATATTAGGCTCTTAGTCACTTGATGATTAGAATTTTCACGCAGCCATCACACAGCTACCACACAACCAACAATTTAACCTCACAGCTAGCACTCAACCGGCAGAGAGCCAACACACAGCTTCAACAGAAACCAACAGCGTACAGCCATCACATATCCCACATACTACACACATCCGTCGTACAGCCGTCACACATCCTACACACATACAACACACATCCATCCACAACCAACACACAACCAACACACAACCAGCACACATACAACACACATTCAGCGTACAGCCATCCACATACATGATACAACAAACACACAACCAACACACTTACAACACATATACATCGTACAGCCATCCACATACAACATACAACCAACACATAACCAACACACATCCTACACACATACAACACACATCCATCCACATACAACATACAACCAACACACAACCAACACACTTACAACACATATACATCGTACAGCCATCCACATACAACATACAACCAACACATAACCAACACACATCCTACACACATACAACACACATCCATCCACATACAACATACAACCAACACACAACCAACACACTTACAACACATATACATCGTACAGCCATCCACATACAACATACAACCAACACATAACCAACACACAACCAGCACACAGCCAACACACATACAACACACATCCATCCACAACCAACACACAACCAACACACAACCAGCACACATCCTACACACATACAACACACATCCATCCACATACAACATACAACCAACACACAACCAACACACTTACAACACATATACATCGTACAGCCATCCACATACAACATACAACCAACACATAACCAACACACAACCAGCACACAGCCAACACACATACAACACACATCCATCCACAACCAACACACAACCAACACACAACCAACACACATACAACACACATCAATCATACAGCCATCCACATACAACATACAACCAACACACAACCAGCACACATACAACACACATCAATCGTACAGCCATCCACATACAAGATACAACCAACACACAACCAGCACACATACAACACACATCCATCATACAGCCATCCACATACAACATACAACCAACACACACACAACCAACACACAACCAACACACATCCAGCACACAAGCCAACACACATACAACACACAATCAGGGTACAGGCATCACATATCCCACATACAACCAACACACAACCAACATAAAACCAACATACAACCAACACACATAAAACACACATCCATCGTACAGCCATCACATATACCACACACAACCAACGCACAACCAAAACACATCCATCGTACAGCCTTTACATATCCAACATATAACCAATACACAACCAGCACAACGCAAACACACATACAACACACATGCAACACACTTCAGCGTACAGGCATCACATATCCCACATACAACCAACACAACCAACACACAACCACCACACAGCAAAGACACATACAACACACAACCAACACATATTCAGTGTACATCGATTACACATCCCACATACAACCAACACCCAACCAACACACAACCAGCACACACACAACACACATTCATCGGACAGCCTTCCCACATCCCACACACATACAACACACACCCCACACTCAACCAACACACATACAACACACATCCCACAACCAACCAACACACAACCAACATACAACCAACACACAACCGACACACAACCAACACACATCCAGGATACATGATAAAATTAATGTTATAATGTGCAGCCATCACACATCCCACATACACCCAACACACAACCAAAACACAACCAACACACAACCAACACACATTCAGCGTACAGCCATCACATATCCCACATACAACCGACACACAACCAACACGCATCCAGGATACATGATAAAATTAATGTTATAATGTGCACATTTATTATGCGCCATAACCACACCCTAAAGCATGCTCAAAGCATTGTATAATTACCCGAGTCAATGGATCTGTCGAATTGTATTCCCCGTTGGGTGAACAGATGCATATTTTATACAAAGTCACTTGGCTAAGGATACACCACATGTAGCATGTAGCGGCCAAGTCCGCACACAGGAAAACATTATGTCAGTAACTGATATCAATCTCCCCTTTGTTGCTGTATCCGATACTGTAAAACTTATCAGTGAATATGCTGATGACTTATTCTACTAAATGCCCTAGCTACTATTTCAGAGGAAGAAGGCGTGCTAATGACTACACTCTTGATAACAAGCGGTATTTGCTACAAAACAGATAAAGGCAGTTTCATTCGAAACTTTCCTTGTTCTGCACCCTGACCCAATGTGACATGGCCAGCCCTATGCATAGCGTGATAATTCTAGCGCCACGTAAAGGGGATGTCTGATACGTCTTGAACCAGCTGTCCAGGTTACATCATCAGTGCGTGAGTCTGAACGACTAATGTAAGTAACGTTTTACTGTGTTCTTTCATTTATTATTAACAATGCTAAAACTACTTCGCAACAATCATTTCATGATCCGAATGTAGCGTCTGCCGTCATACGTTAAAATATGGTACTTTTTGTTACCCACCTGGCGCTCGGCATTAAGAGGATAATGGACGGGTCGGATCGGAGTCGGTAAATTGTGTCTGAGTGGGGCATCAATGTTAAACTGTGGGATGGTATCTCAGTGGGCTTGTGCTATAAAACCGGCCCTATTGTTATGCTAGACACGACGGTCATGTTGCTTAATTCTCGCCCTGAGGGAGATTACCTAAGTAACCTTTAGTTTGTGTTACAGTGATGATGGGTGATACATTACTGGCGAGGACAGTGTTGAGATTTCTTTCAAGCCTACAAGGTATGTTGTAGTTGAACATATTTATAAGCTAACGGTGCAGGTTGTAAAGGGAAATAACAATATTTAAAAAGTATACGAAAACCACGTCAATATACAATAGCGCGGAAAAACCCCGTGAAGATCCGGGTCCAAAAAGGCAACTAACCGGACGTGAAGCTCAGACTCGCTGACTTTGTTGATCCTTGTCATCGCATCCCAATGGCGTAGGTTGATGCTCATGATGTCATTCTCTGGACGGCGGTATTTACAGTGCGCCGTCACATAGATGGAATATTGCTGAGCGTGGCGTTAAAGAACAAACCGTGAACGATATGAATGCAAAGCTTCATTATGTCGGATGGAGTGTCTGCCCGGAGAGCGGGAGGTCAGTGTTTCGATGCTCTGGCCGCCGTCATACTGCAAGACGTTAAAAGATGGTACTCCTTGTTACTTTGTCTGGTGGTCGACATTAATGGGGATAAAATCAAGGACAGGTCGGCTCAGAGTCAGTATACTGTGTCTGAGTGGGGTATTTATGGGGTATCTCAGTAGGCCAGCATTTAAAACTGCATAACTCCAGACTAGTAAATGCGGATACACACACGCATGTACGTACGTCACTACATTAGTGACATGTTCTTGAACTCACATCTTTATGTTTCTAACACATTGTTTTGAGGGAAACGCCTGATACCCATTGTCACTGGACTTGAAGTCAGCGTCTTGGTCGTCGTCGGGGCTGTCGCAGTTTGGATGTACGTCAGACGGAGGAAGAGGATCAAAGGTAAAATATTTCACCTCGTTGACAGATATAACATAATTATAGTGAGTTACTGATAATTTACGCCACTTTTAGCAATTTTTCTAGCAATATCACGACGGGGGAAATCAGATAACCAAAAGGCAACCCCAGCGCCCCTGATACAATTATTCCAATGTGACACATTGCTTGTTTTCTGACAGAGTAAATATAAATTAACTGACGGCCAAAAAAACTTAAAATGAAATTGCAAAAAAATATGAGCACACGTTCAAACTAAATAAATGAAAAACACATGGTCCAAACATGAATAATGCTCTATGCAGAAATTGATACACGTCCAGGGCACGTTTTTATTGTGTGTAGAAAATGCGAAAAAGCGAAAAACACTTGCCGCTTGGGCAGCGGAAACTACACGTTCAATTAGGGTATATAAATGATACGGACGGATTGTGTAACAATTACACTAATAAAATACCACCACAGTAAAGCTTCGGCTGACACCCGAACAACGGCATGATACAGATGGGAGCCACCCATGCCCACATTGCTGGAACCTTTGATTGCTCCAGTGTTGCTGAGGCAACCTTACAGACAGACTGGCCAGACATCAGACAGGCCAAGAATATGCAGACCCAGGGTAACTACGCCCAATGAAGACCGGTACTTGCGTACTCCGGAATCGACTCCTGGCAGTGACGTCATCACCGACGAATGCCTTAGGGCATATGGTTGTCAACAGGCAGTGGCCAGGCGACTCAGAGCTAGGGAATTAGGGCTTACATACCTTAAAAAGAACAGTTATTGCCAGGGCAACATCATCGTCAGAGATTGAGATGGGCTCGGACTGTACGTCGTTGGCAGCGACGTGACTGGCAGAGGGTCGTCTTCAAAGCCGGTTGTGTCTGTTCAGATCTGATTGAAGACAGCGTGGTTACCGCCTAAGGGGAGAACGAACGTCGGCATGCTGTGTTCAGGTGGTTGTGTCGTGTAGTTGAGAGGGCGTTATGGTGTGGGGATGAACTAATGGGCAGAGGACAGCACCACTGGTCATCGTTAACGTCAGTTAACAGCCCAGCTTTGCAAGGATGACATTCTTCGTCCGATTGTCCTACCATTTCTACAACAGCTATAACGTTGCGTACTTTATGAGCATGACAGCACTAGACACCATGCAGCCCGAATCGTACATATCTTCCTTGCAGCCAACAAGGTCAACAGACATGTCATCAATAGAACACCTTTTTTACTTCATGCATCTATCTTTTGAAATTTTTAAACTTGTGTGATTTAAAACCATGGTAAAGTTTCTGTTGGCCGTTGGTTTACATCCTTGAACTGTTACATTTATCAATTCTGGATGAGAGAATTCAATGAATAAAACCAGGAAAATTGCAACCTGTGAAGATAAACGTTCAGCAAATGTTTCCTCCACGTTGATATCGTTAAAATTAGTCATGATTGTGAACATTAACATAGTTGCAATATATCGGCAAACAAGACTGTTTCCTTTTAGCCTTGTGGGAATCAGAACATGTTTTACTTGTTTACGCAAATTGTGTGAGTGGAGGGTGCTTCCGGTGGTGCAGGACATGCTCACCCTTATGCAACACCTGGTGTCATCAATGATTTACAGTAATCTGTTCATAGAATTTCCATCGCTATTTGACCCTTTGGTCCCGTGGCATCTGATTCGGTGGATGATCGAGGCTGGTTTTCCCTAGTTTATATATATACAAGTGCATCAAAGGGTTATGTGTAAGTTCAATATGAACAAGAATAGCACAATACCCCAATGGGAGATGAATGTCTTTTGGACAATAATTGTGGGTGTGATGAATGTCCGTTTGCAACTTGTCAGGTTATGCATGTCCGTATGATGATTTTCTGTTTGGTGAATGTCCGTTTGACAATTGTCTTGGTGATGAATATTCGTTTGAGAATTGTCGGGGTGATAGAAGCCCGTTTAATATTTGTTGTTGTGATTGTCTGTGTGATGAATACCTGATGAAAATTCGTTTGACAATTATCTGGGCATTGAATGTCCGTTTGACAATTTTCAGCTGTGCGGGGAATGTCTTTGTAACACTAGTCTGGATGATGAGTGAGTGAGTGAGTATGGTTTTATGCCGCTTTTAGCGATATGCCAGCAATATCACGGCGGGGGACACCAGAAATGGGCTTCACACATTGTACCCATGTCGGGAATCGAACCCGGGTCTTCGGCGTGACGAGCGAACGCTTTAACCACTAGGCCACCCGACCGCCCCTAGTCAGGATGAAGAATGTGCGTATGAATATTGTTAATTAAGAATATTTTTTTCAATCTTTACCACTCATATTATTTAGAGCTACTGCACAATGACAATGGACCTACCCAGTGCCCAGGGCCACGAGATTCAAGTGGGGATGTCCTGTATGATGAGATTGAAGATAGAAAACCACCACTTCAGCAAACAAACAGCTGTACCGTGTCTAATGTCTACAGTACCATGACGAGAGATTCCACAGAGGTGTCCTACACTGAAATGAACACCACCAACACCGACGGCGCCTCATCGGTACTCCCGAACGCAGATATTGGCGTCATCAGTGGCACCACACAAGAAGTCGTAAATGCTGACAACATTGGCTACATAAACGTTACTTCCAGCGAGCCGACCACTACAGTTGACCTCATCACAGAAAACATTTACAGTAATGCACGCGAGGAGGACAAGGTGCCCCATAAATTTGGTCGCACTGCACAGCCCTTGGCCTTGGGGAGAGCACAGAGCCAATACATCAACGATGCTTTTGAAGATGAGGACTTTTAACTGGGGCAAATGGTCACTGTGTATGTTAAGAGATGCAGTCTAGATTCTGAGCGTTCATGCAAAATTGACTACAATTATACTCAAAGTACGGGATTGAGGGGTAGGAGAAGACATAAGGGGTCGCGAGTGGTTGGTGACGGGTTAGAGGTGGAATAGGGGGAAAGAGGGCTTTGGGGGTGCTTGGATGTTTTGTTATACACAGAATATATACCAATGTTCAATCACTAGAAAGTAAATTCGAACAGTTTTTTCTTTCTTTTCTCAACGTCTTTGAATGTTGGATCACCAATACTAAATTGTATGTTGTAAGCTTTGGGAGATTTAACACTCTTCATAAATTATCAGATGTGATTTATCACAGTTTGGCTCAAAATACTAAAAATGCGCGAGGAGTTATCCTCCCAAAAACCATCACCCTGATGACGTTAGGTATAGGCCATGAGTATCTCAGATCTGAAATATGGCTTTTGGCATGCATGGTTTTGACAATTAAAAAATGTTTTTGAAAGACCTTCGCCAAAGAGCAATTGATAAGACTTTTCCATAATTGGACGCCTTCATTCTTCGATAGCTCAAGATATGACACATGCATATCATTTGAAAGCCAATTGCATACAGAAAAGCCTCTATTAAATTTAAATGATAATAAAATCAGAAGTATTGTCGTAACTGCTTTCGGGTGTCAAGTGCGACCCAACTACAGTTACTGAAAGTATTGCCGTTACTGGTCATCATGGTCAGTTAAGCCATGACTTTGCAAGTCGCCTTGTCAGCACCGGCTCAGCTCCATCAAGGAGTGATTGGTCTAGCGATGCTCACTCCAAGTTGTCTCCATCAGCATTCATACTCGCATAATAAGGAAACGCAACACCAGCTTTATACTCACATTAGCTTTACTTACTCTCAGTCCATCTATCAATACATGACAGGATCAGACCGGCCAGGCTCATCACTAAATGGGGAGATCTTAGATCGATCGGGATTCGAATCGATTGCAAACCGCGCTCTCCTCTCCTAACGTTGACGGTATCATTTTAATAGTGTTCCGGCATGGCCTGTCTTTGTCACATGTCACAATACCTCAGTTTGATTCGTTAAAAGTTAGATCTGACCATGAACTCATGTGTGTCGTAATCGGAAAAATACCGAAGCCTACGTGCAAGATTGATCATCTCTCTCTATTGATTTTGTGTCTCACTCCGGATACTACAAATGAAAAGTATCTTACCTCTCTGCTTGTTTCATTACTTAATCGACGATAACATGGAACCAATCCAATGATAAATATAAAATGTCCAGAATACTCTTGTGATAAATGTGAAATGTCTTTTATCTATTAATTCCTTTCGAACTTAACGTTCGCTTAATATGCAATGTCCAGAATACTCTTGTGATAAATGTGAAATGTATTTTATCTATTAATTCCTTTCGATTCTTAAAGTTCTCTTAATATGCAATGTCCGGGTACTGTTGTGATAAATGTGAAATGTCTTTTATCTATTAATTCCTTTCGGTCTAAAAGTTCTCTGTCACAAATTTTGTATATCTAATGCAACTCATCATTACAGCTATAATGGTTTAATTTGTTACTATTTTCTAATGTTTTTGAGACGCTATTTAACCTCATAACAGTATCATGGTTAAGATTAGACAAAATTTAACGGAAATACAATTCAGTGTCAAAAGATTTAAGAATATTTTAAGCATTCCGTGTATATACTAGTATTTCATTTTTTGCTTATGAGAAAATGATTGTTGCTACTAAATTGACAAATATATGTAGAAGATGTGTATGCGTTCTTGTATGTGGGCCGGATGCCTTGAATACAATAAAGTGTTTCCTTCAGGACAGTTACCTGTGATATAATTGGCAACTGTAAATAGCTGTTGTGCGGAATGGAGAGAGAAAGATAATTATTTGGAGTGAATGAATCCTTTTATACGCGAGCACTTTTACCTCAAACGAACCTCTTCGTTTCAAGGATTACGATACTCCAAGTTCTTGTTTGTTTTGTATATTGCCTGTGAGTTGAATTTTATAAATTGAGTGTATATGTTACCTGTACATGAAGCGCTTTAACAGCATGTCATAAAGGTTAACTCTTAGTTTTTTCAATAGTCAGGACCGATCGAATAGCCTAGCGTTTTGGTGGTCAAAGAGTTCGTCTATGTTTAAATCCCCACTTGGGCACAATGTGTGAAACCCATTTTTTATGTCATGCGTAAAGCAAACTCCGTCATCAATAGTCACTGAGGCGTACCTAAAATATATTCAGAAATCTTCTTGCAAGTTGTTGTCAGGTTCCAAATATCTCCCTCATTATTGTATTGTTTTGTCTTACAATACAATAAATCCTCAAATTTATGGCTTCTTCCCCCACGACATTCCTGAGCCCTCGACGTTGAGACAGCACGGTATAAGTGGCCTGACCAGCTGGTGCAATGAGTTAGAAAGTGTTCTCTTATGTCCGTTTCATTCACTTTTGCCAGGGGCGATAACATTCATTTCAGGGTGTGGAACCAGGGTCAGCATCGCATAGGCCCCCAGAAACCTATGCTGGTCATAGGTGAGGTGAAATGGGGTTTAACGTCGGGTCCAAGATTATTGCACTTATGTGTGTGTGTGTGGCTGCTTGTACTAGTCCGGACTGATGCCGATTTATAGTGCTAGCCCACTGGGATACCATGCCGCAGTTTAACATGAATATCCCACTCAGACACAGTATACTGACTCCGAGCCGACCAGTCCTTGTTTTAGCCCCCACGTACCTACGCACCGACTCACACACTCATAAGTCAAATTTAAAGAGAGCCTCACCACCTTTGTCGGAACCAATAAAGACAACAGCACTCTCCTTGAAACTGAAAGGCACTGAATTAGCATACGTTTCCCCCTCCCGCGAGGGCTTTATTCAATAATACGCTGGAAATATTTACGGGGTCGGAGGCATCTTCTAGGAACAGGATCTGCCACAGAGACTTTGGTACAAATGAATACATTGACTTAGTTCCACACCCGATTATGCAGTGATATAACAACGTGAAGACATCTGAAACCCCATTTGACCTACGAGACCATTCAACATGTTGGCTTCGATTCTCCCCATTGAAAGTGAAATTCAATTTAATAACGACCTCATTTGAAAATTGTTTGATATGCATTACTTAGAGGTTGACGGATGACGAAGTATTTACAATTTAGGGGTAACAACTTCTTTAATTACTGTAAAGGCGACGTTTCGGTATAAATGCTCATACCGTTGTCAAGCAAGACATTCGAGCAGGCCTTGCTTGACAACGGTATAAGGATCTTTACCGAAACGTCGCCTTTGCAGTAATTAAAGAAGTTGTTATCCATAAATTGTGTCTACTTTCCCATTTGAAAAGCAAGGGTTCTGCAGTTACTTGGGTGGGTTGATGAAATGTGTCCTATTACTATACAATGCCAAGAGAGGAAGGTTATAGAAATAAACATGAGCGAAAGTAATATCTTTCTCCAACTACGAATATGTAATATGCGATGATTGTTTGTTATTCAACGCCGCACAATGTTCCTATAATATGATGGCAGCCTGTCACTAAAAAGTACGATGGAGTAAAGAAGTAGCAGTTTACTAAATCAGTCTGCGTTAGTTTGCGGCAGCAAGGATGATCATTATTATTCTATTTTCCACTTTGGAAGTGAAGGATCCAGGTCTACTGGACCGAAATGTAGAACGGGTGTATAAGTTTTTGAATTTGGTTAAATATGATTTATGAAACGAATTTCTTTTTATTTCCTTTCATTCAAAATGTCTTCGAAAATCCAATTATGCTTGAGAAGTAGAGCTGACATGATGGGACATGTGAAGTGAGGTGAGGTGAAATTTGATTTAACGTCGCGTCCAAGATTATTGTACTTATATAGCGACGTGCATGCACTGACTCCGAGGCGACAAGTCCTTGTTTAAGCCCCTTAATGCCGAGCGACAGGCAGGGTAACAACAATTGTAAACCTATAGAAAGTGTGTTCTGTGTTGTAATTGGCTAATTTGGGTCACATGACCAAATGTCAAAGGGTGAAAATATGATTTGAATTCCCTGAAGCAAGCGACCGAATCACTGTGTAGGAAACAGAGATTACTACACTAGTGTCTGTCAGATACCATTGATCTTACGAGTTGTTTCAAAACGTATCTAACGAGCGAAAGCGAGTTAGATACGCTTTGTAACAACGAGTTGTAAGATAAATGGTATCTGACAGGCACGAGTGCGGTAATCTGTTTTTTTCACCCCCCAAAATAGCACCTTTTTAACATCGAACCGATGAATTTGTCATGATTGCAGTAGCGCATAATACATGACACGACTGTCATAAGTGACGTCATCCTATGTGCTGCCAACTACTCATAAATAAGGTGACCCGACACAAAAAGGTTTCCGTCATATCTGGATTATCAAGGCGATGATGAAAATGCAAACTAGACAATATTACCAAATATGTACAACAATGTTTACTTCCGTATGACATCACTACCGGTGACCGACTTTTACAAAATGCTGTGTTCACTGACAACATTACGCGGGATTTCCAGAGGAGGATTTTCGTTGATTGAGGGATCGTATACACATAAATGGGTCACGTAAGTAATCAGAAGCATTCTGACAATCTGCGTACTGTTATTTGTTTACCATGTTTTCCAATGTAGGAAAGAGAATTAGTCAGAAATGCAGATAACTACCGTCATCGTTGTGCGTGATTTAGCGTCAGTCATGGCGCCACACAGGACAGAAACTTTTGTAAACGGCTTCTGTTGAATTTACCACATCATTGTAATGTATATATGTGTATTTCCATAATTAGTGCAACGATACTCTTCCCATGAATATTCTCAAACGCGTGATGGAGCCAATGTATGCAACAATTAGACGAAAGTACCTCTAAAAAGGCTACACAGTGTAAAATCAGAATTTTGCTTTGTTTACATTTCAGCAAGTACAGTTTTCCGAGCATAGTTTTCGTTTCCATACCTAACTTATTTCGCATGATTTCATCTAGATAATTTGCATTGGTGACAAAGACCATTTATCCATTGTTTCGAAAATGTATGAGGAATTCAGGGATGCATGTATAGCATTAAACATTGAAATATACCTGATCGAATAGGCGTCTCATAACCGGCATTTTGTAAACACAATCTAATATGGCGGAACGTACACTTCGGCGTTCGTGTATGCGTATTTTCCAAAACATTCTAAACGATTCTAGGCTTATCAGCGACGTTTCAGAACTATCAGTAGTGATTTGATACCCGTGATCGCTAATATGCTAATTTTCTACTTTAATTATTCGAGTAAATATCCGATGTTTAGATTTCAAAACACACAGTGAATATTTATATAACGCCGTGAATTGTGATTTGGCGAGGTTTACAATGTATCTAATTTTCAGAAGTCACGTTCAGTAATTTTGAATTGCCTTAAATGACAGTAAATGATAAACAGAAGGGGGAATTCAAAACTGTGAAGTGTATTAATCTGCGTGATGTATTTTGAATTTTATTCGATTTCGAAGTGAGGGTTGAAGAGGAGGGACATATGTGTCGCTGTGGCATCCAGGGGGTTTACACTCTGAAAAAACGATTATGTTGACATAACAACAGATAATGTAACTGATAATAAAAACAAACAAACTCACAGACGATTTCGAGTTTGTTTATTTTTATTATTAATTATACGGTCCTGTTGTTCAAAACAGACGTAGGTGAACATTCGACTGAAGCACCAGCAACTTATGAATGACTTACACTCAGGAAAGTAGTCCGTCATCATTACCAAAATCACAATCACCATAGCAACAACAGAACGTTCGATGTTGACGCCTCACAACCGAGTAAGTACGGGGTGTTAAAGAGTGCGCATGTTTTTTTCTAAATAAAACAATAGGTTTACAATATCGATAAATACTATGTGTGTGTCTATTTCCGGGATTTTATCGAGTATTTGCATCTTGGAAATTTTCATTCGAGCCCCTCAAGCTAACGCTTTCGGGTCTCGAGATGAATTTCCAAGATGCAAATACTCGATAAAATCCCGGAAATAGACACACACATAGTATTTATCTTCTAAGTACTATCTTTTAACGTCTTTTGGTAAGACGTCGCCGGGGATCGAACCCCGGACCTTCCGCTCTCCGGGCGGACGCTCTACCACTAGACCACGGAGGCTGTATGGGAAATGTGACGTCAGCCAGCTGAGACTGTACATGTGGACAAACATTGCACCGACTACAGCATACATGTAGGCTCTATGTTCAAGCAGGAATATACAGGCCTGGAAATGATATGTAGCAATTCTCTGTGTTTGGCTGTTGTCAGTTCTGCGTTCTGAGATACAGTGATGTAAGTATCTACTACACTTAACAATACATGTAGATAATAAAGTAAAACAAAACTCTCTGCTGGAATGTATGGTGCCAATTATTCGATGGGGTTAGACTCGTAAAATGTATGAATAGACGAATCAACTATTCTTACCCGATGAAAAAAAACAAACTCTGACAGATTTTTGTAACACTGCTATTACATGACAATTAAAGATTATATCTAGCAGATAAATTAGAGAAAGTGACTACATGTACGTTATCCCTATAAATCAAAGCTGTCAATAAACTGCCAATCGTATTAATATGAGGCAACCAGTTTTAGTAATCAAGTTGTATCCAATAGTATAACCACTACAATGTGCTGCTAAAAGCTCTCAATGAAGTACCAGGCATATCAATAGGCGGCAACCACTTTTAGTGATCAAGTTGTATTCAATTATAGTATATCACTACAATTTGAATTACTCCCTAGATACGCGTTTATCAGGAGCGTACACCCAACTAGTGAATAGTATTGCTCCGTGTGTGAAGGCGATAGTGAGAGATAGTCACAAGTTGTACATACTTTGTATCAGTGTACACGTAAAAACACTCGGCCATATATATATATGAACTATGAGTCACAACACATAAAAACAAAATGAAATCACAAGTTAAGGAGAGGTGAATTTGGGTTTAACGTCGCGTCCAAGATTGCACTTCTATAGCAACGTGTGTGTGTGTGAGCGCGCGCGCTTGTACTAGTCCGGACTGATGCCGATTTTATAGTCGCTGGCCCAGTGAGATACTATGCCGCAGTTTAACATGAATACCCCACTCAGACACAGTATATTGACTCGGAGCCGACCAGTCCTTGTTTTAGCCCCTTAATGCCGAGCGCCATATTTTAACGTCTCTTGGAATGACGCGGCCGGGGATCGAAAACCGGACCTTCCGCTCTCCGGGCGGACACTCTACCACTTGACCACGGAGGCGGTCACTACAAGTTAAGAGTATTTAATAAATAATGCATACCCAAGAACTAGATAATACATGCATACAACCATGATAAATAACAAATATTGTATCATATACAGAAAAACATAAAACAGGATATATACACACACAATGCACATACACTGGTGCATACATTTGTACATGTGCACTTATAAACACAACACCAAATAGATACACTGATACATACATACAGCACAATCGTATAAAC